GTCAAGTCTGGGCCAGGAGAAGCGGGGGGCCCTCGGGAAGAGCACAGCCTTCCAGCTCAACCGGTGCGTGGCCGGTGAGCCAGGGTGGGAGGGGGTGGTGGGGCGGCGTGAGTGACCCTCGCTAATTAATTTCCAATTCCCTTTTTCCCCCAGAATCCCACTGGTGAACCTGTGATGCTCACGGGAGAAGCAGAGCTGGGTTTCCCCACCCTCCTGTCACAGCCGGCGAGTACAGACTCCCGCTGCCTCTGCTACCCCAGGAAAAAACCGACCTCCTTGTGCCACGGCCCGCCACCACCATTATTAACTCACTGCACCAGGATGTGCCTGGGCAAATGGATGAGCTGGGGCTCCTGGGGGAAGGTTGGGGACCCCCCACAGCCACATAGGACAGGGTGATGAGAGAGCAGGATGGTGGGAGGGAAGACAGTGGTGGTGTGAAATCTTGGCCTCCCCGGCCCCTCTCCTAGCACACACGCAGACACGTGCTCCGTGGATCTCCATGGCCCTCTCACCAGTGCATGCCTGACATTAGGGGTAGGTGAGATGGAAAGGCGTACCCCTGTCCCCGTGGGCCCTAACCCCTCTGTGTGTCCCTTCCCATGTCGTGTGCTTTGAAGTGAACGTCTGGAGTTCAGTGGCTGCAGGATTGCCTGCCAGGGCTCGGTCTCCCCTGAGCCAAGACTCAGGAGGTGGCAGGTTCTTCTGATCCTGAGGTCTTGGCCTTCCTGAGGGTCCCAAGGGTGGGTGAAGCTTGGGCAGTAGAGGCTCACACAGCACCTGGCCCCCCCTCAGCAACCCATTTCCTTGAAGGAGACATTACCTCCCTGCTAGATGGAAGATACATTTTTCCATTTTCTTTCTGCCTAACACTCCTCTGTTTTTTTCTCTTCAGCTTGTATCTTCCTTCATCTCTCCACCCCCAATTTTTTTTATCTCAGTTCCTCCTCCTACCACTTCTCTTGCCAGTTAAAGTTGGAAAAGGTTCCTTTAGCTTTCCAAACAGTTTTATCTCTTGGAAGCCTCCTTGCTGTCCCTCTCCTCCCCCTTGGCCTCCTTCTGCAAGGTTTTTCTGAAGGTCAGTCTATGGTGACGTTCTTCAGAAAATCTGAGGCGAAGCCCTTTGCCCATCATGTTATTTGGCAAGCGTGCTGTACACTGGGATGCTGTAGAAGCAGCTCAAGCATGGCATGCAGATATAGCTGGGCACAGGAACTTGAGTTTTGCTGGGCTGAGGCAGGGAATTGCTTTCGGACACTCATGCCACAGGCAACAAGCAGCAGACATGACTCTGTGTGCCTGGGATGACAAAGAGCCATTTAGAGTTGATTTTGGGAAGATTTGGAGGGTTGCCATGTACTGCTGGTGGGTCTTTCCTGAAATGCAAGGTGACTGGAGACCCATGAGGCCCTGCTCACCAAGGGCATGAGAGGAGGGTTGTCTGGGGTGCCAACCTCCCTAAGTGCATTGCCCCAGCTGGTTGGGGACCAAAACCATTGGCATGGGTATGGCTGCAAACCGGTTGCCTGAGCATATACTTCAGGGCTGTGGTTGTCTGTAGGGCAGGCAGCTACATTATCAGTTACTTGTGCAAGCAAGATCAGCACGTCTCAACCTCCTCCCATGTGTGGACCCATGGGTGTCACTTTGAGGAAGCGTGAAATGGCAAATTTCAGCTTAATGACAATAGTGCTCTCACTTGTTTTTTGTGGATGCCTTCAAAGTAGTTCACAGACTCAACGCTGACAGCCACTGAAATGATGCAGATTTAGGTAAGGTTGCCCCTATGCCATACAAACACCTTCAGCTGCTACACTGATGTGTCCAGAGGCAGGAAACTCACCCAGAGTTTGAAGGCCCTAGTGCACCATACAAGGTCATCTCGGAGAAAAGGAAATGGCCCTTTCATCCTTGATCTCTGCAGTAAAAAATCTCTTCTTTATAGGACAAAGCACAAGAGGCCTGGTTCTGCCCATTTACCCAGCTCAACTATTAGGTGATCTCGGATCCCATCTGACTCACTGTGAAGGACATCTAAATGAGAGTGTAAATTGCAATAGCCTTTGCAAAAACAGCAGAGATTTGGAGAAAACAGCAGGTCAAATAAAATCACTGGATTATTAAAGCATAGAATGGCTGAAAGATGTAGGTGGAAAAGGACTCTGGAGGTCCCTGGTCTAAGCACAGGTTGAGTCTCTGCTTATAGCAGGGGATATTATTGCTTTACTGTAGATTGATCTATTCCTGAGCCTTTTCTTTGTTCAGGCTCCCTTCAAGGCTGTGGTGGCCATCCCAGCTGTGGATGGTCAGGGCAGAGAAGGGGGCAGGTGGCTGTTCCTGCCCCCTGCCCCACTCACCACAGCCCCCACCGGCTGAAGGCAGCTCGGGGCTGTTCCCCCTCTTGCTGGCACATCAGATGGGGAAAGACATCTGCACACAGTCTGCAAGAGGCTGCACTGCTCATCACTGGCAGTTTATAATAGAATGCCTTCAACTGGTTTAAGTAATCTTCCAGACCAGATTAATTAGGATGCTCTTTGATCAATAATGCTTGTTGAAACAAAGCCAGAGTTTAGATTCTACCACTTCAAGGGCTGTCCATGGACTTTCCCTTTCCACACGCTGTGGGGAGAGAAGGTCTATAAGAAAGTGGTAGGGCACTGCAGGAGATGTAGTGAAAACATTTTTCTAACACTTGATGGCCCTGCGCTCTGCTGGCCAGGCTTTTGTAAACTCTGTGAACAAATCCAATTTCGGTGGTTTGGGTTTTTTCCCTCCCTTTAACATGTCTCTGTTTCTTTTAAAAGTGTATCCAGGGAGTGAAACCTTTCACAGACACTGTGGTAAGAGGGAAGCTGGGGAATGCAGCAGAGAAAACTCATATAATGACAGAAGCTTGGATATGCTGAACACCTTTTCCAAGACCAGTTTTTCTAGGCAAATATGTCTTTTCTCACAGTCGTTCACTCTCTCACACAAAGCAGGTTATTTATGGGAAACAAATTCATTGTCCTGCCCAAACATTCATTGCTACATTTTGTCCCTGTAACGAAACATTCAAAACACTTGTGGACATACAAGCTTCTTCCAGTCAATAAATAATATCACTGGATCAGTTTTCTCCATGGCTGGAGCCTTATAAACCACCTTCCCCTATGCAGACTGGAGCCAAAGCATGCCTGCAGTCTCTTCCCTGCCCCAAGCTGATATTCTGTGTTGACAGCACCAAGTACCAAGCCAGGGCAGAGGCCAGCACCTTCTCAGTTATAGCCCTTCAGGTTTCCCTGTCTTCTAAGTGACTGGAGGAGAAAGATCTGGATTATTTTTTTCTGGGGGAAATTTTACAGACAGAAAGGTATGCAAGGAAACTGAATATTTCTGTAGCCTTGGGCTGAGCCTGCCCAACATTTCTGCAATTAAAAAGGAATGCCCAGGTGGGCTGGGTGAGTTGAAGGAACCGTGTCTCTGCTGAGCTCCTGGAGCATCCTGGCTTTTTTAACACAAGGGAGGTCTCTCTGTGAACACAGTGGGAAGGAAGGAACATCCCGGGGAGACTCTCTCCCCACTGCCCTGTGTTGTTTTGGAGCAGGAACTGGAGCCTCCCACCCAGCAGAGTGGTTTGACCACAAGGCCAAATCCTGCTTGGGCTTTCCCATCTGGTTATTTGTGACTGGCAGGCAGGGGAGCAGACCTCCAGTGTGTGCTCCCACACCATTCCACTGGTCCCGTTTCCAGGGACTCACGTCCAGCCAAGTATCCCATGGCTTCAGAGAGGGCTATCTACCTCTTCCTCAATGGCACCTAAGTGCCCTTGTAAATCTGGTCCCTTCATTCTCCACTCCCTTTCCTGATAAGGAAAAATGCTTGGAAAGGAGCAGTTTGTTCATTCCCCGCAAGTTCTCAAACACTATCACCTTCAGACTGTTCTGAATTAAACTGTGGTTTTGGTTTTTTCACTCCAACAAACCACATCTATGGCACAGCCTTAGAGCCGAGTCCTGTAGCACATAAGCCTTGGGCCACACTCCAGCTCCCTGACTGCACTCCCGCTGATGTCTCACTGTAGTCCTGGCCCTTCCTCGGCAAGATCATAGAGGGGGGCCCCTTCCTTCACTGACTGCCAGCTCTCGATTCCCTTTTTCCTGTTGTTTTCCCTCTCCCACTGTTTTCCCGCTTCCCACTCCTGTCCTGTATCATGGTCTCCCTCCTGGTTATCTCTCCCCTCCCGCTGTTTCTCTCTCCCCACTCCTCTCTTGTTCTCCCTTTGCCATTTGGTCTCGTTCTGCTGCGGCTCCCATCCTCCCCTCCGTCCTCCCTCCTGCTTCCCCGCTCAGTCTCGCTCTTTCCCCTCCCCTGCCCTTGTGCGCTGTGATATATATTTTTGTAGGATTTCTCTTCTCCTCGTGGTGAAATATTAAATTCTTGTGGGATGTTAGTTTCAACATTTTTAAATAAACCTTTGCAAAATACTGAGAGCAGAGCTCTTACTGCTGTGGAAGAGGCCGCAATGGAGATGTCAGAGTGGGACGAGAGGGACTTGACCCTGAGCAGACCCCAGTGGCATGGGGGCTCAGACATCTGGCACCCCACA